AGTCCATGGGCTGCGGGTCCATATTTGTCCCGCCTGGCAGCTTCAGGGGGGCATGGGGGACAGCTGCCATCTCCCTGTAGGCTGCAGGGGAACCTCTACTTGGGCACCACCTTCTCCTTCTTCCTCACCAGCCTTGAGATCTCTACTCGAGCACTGCTTTTACCTCTCCAGCACAGCTCTTCCCTATGCTCTATCTGCTTCCAGGTTTTATATCACTTTTTCATATGTTAATCCCAGACACACACCTATTGTTTCTAATGGCTGGGCCAAGGCCACCTGATTTGGAGCTGGGGAAGCTTTTAGTAGCTTCTTATGAGAGCCACCCCCGGGGCCCCTCTGGCACTACCAAAAAAACTCCACCAAACCAGCACAACTGGCATGAAATTTTTGTGTGAAGTAGTAATTTAAGGTCAGTAGAAAACTAAACAAAGCTTACAGTGTCATTCAAAGTCCACTGAATTCAAAAGCATGATATGTGTCAGGTCTGGATTACATTTACATTTATAGATGATCAACATGTTCTGGTGGAGTAGATTTTTCCAACAAAGCTGAAAACTGACTTCATTGTTCTACTCATGAGGGGAAAGGAAGAACCTCAGGTTACACTGTTTTCTGTATGCATTATGCTACATAGTATTTTGAAATTACAAAAAAAATTTCCGTAAGAGAAATGCTATCCATATGCTTAGAAAGTAAGACAATTTCAAAGATAATTTATCAGCTGTCAAATTTAAAGAATAAATCCACAAATATTTAAGTGAAAAACAATAAACAGTGGATGAGGAATACTTCAGAAGTGTAACGCTCCTATTCCACATCATGAGCTATAGTTGGAAGGGGCTGTTAAAACAAATCTGATTTCTGTAAATGTAAACCAGCCATCTCATGACACATTTTGCAACTGCAGTTTGTAATCTAATCTTAGGCCTGGTTAGAAGATTGATTTATCAGTGATGTAACCAAGGTTACACCATATGTGTGTATATAGGCACTAGATTGTAGTCAACTGTGCTACATAATACAGTGTGGATTACTGTGAAATTAGGAAGTATGAAGAGTCTAGCTTAAAATAGAAGTGCAAGCATTGTTTGATACTGGTTTGGATATATGTGACTGTGACCTTTGCAAAAGTTTTGTTGGAGGACAGTCAAATGTTCAGCTGCTGTAAATTTACCACATTCCAAAACCATTGGTGCATCTGCATTCTTTTGCACAAGCTGACTCTTTGAGGATATTGTATTCTTATCCTAGTACTAACAGCAAAAGCACGTAAGTCAGTTTGTTAAGAGGTGTAGATGCCTGAAAAAAATGTTGAATCACTTCTAGTAGAATTAACTTCAGTTTAACTGGAAAAAAAGTAGATTTATTTTTTTTTTCTAAAAAGGATACTGAGCAATAGATGATGATATTAATATTTGGGCAACTTGGAAGGAAGGTGCCAAGAATTGGATTCTACTCATATTAGTGTGATTTCTACATACTCGCATACTAATCTGCCAGCCCATGCAGAAAAATAAGTGCTTAACTTCCAAGAAAACAGTAGCTGGGCCCTCTGAGTCAGTGTAACTCAAGTTCAGTTTAATTTGCTGTCCCACATCACAGGACAACCAATTAACAATTCCACCTGTGCAGACTTCAGGCTTTTAGAAAAGAGATGACAGGAGTAAAGAATCTGCCTAGTATTCAGTCTGTGGGAACAGAGGCTGACTGTCCAGAATGTACAGGATGCCAGGAGTGATGGTGTTCATCAGCAGTCCACCCTTGCACTGGCCTTCATTTGTAAGCTGCAGCTTGGTGGAACATTTCCTGGCATCTCCTTGGACTGGGTAGGGATCGTTCACTACTTGTGTGTTTATGCTATAGAGAGATCATATCCTTTCCTACATGCTTTTCTGTACTAATGAAATCTATTGATGCAGTGTAAGATCTGGCAAGTAGCATCAGAGCTACAGTTTGTGGATGATTTACGTAGCCATTTGGAGTCTGGTGTGACACAAACACTTAACTCATTTCAAGAATAATTATAAAATACATTTTGCTAATTGAAGAGGCTTTTTATGCATGTTCTTCCATCTCTCCCTCCCTCTCAGCACTTTTAATCCCCTCCCATTACACTGAATAGCTTCAATATGTGCTTTGGGAATTGTGGATCACCAAGTCATTCAGGTGTTGTCTGTTCTGGTTCTACCAGCATTAGTTACAATGTGAAGTTATTTCACTTTCCTGTGAAATAACATTTAATTCTTCAAGAAATATCAAGTGTCTTACACAGCTATAGATTGCAGCCTGTGCACCTGAGTCTGTTATCTGAAGCAAGAGCAAGAAGCAGTGAGAAATGGAGAGCTTGTTTGGCAGTCAGAAGTACTCCTCATTCTGTCATCAAAGGCTGAAGCTTTGTCTGGATAAGCAGTCCTGAATCCTTCTGAATGGGATTCTGCAATCTTCACTGTAATGGAGTGGCTGCAAATGGGACTTCCAACAGCAAACAGCCAGGTGAAGAGTCCTATGATGACTTCCAGAATTGACTGCTACCTTGCAGTTGTTCGGATAAATTTCAGCGGGGTTTAGTTTCTCATGCCAAGGAATATTTTGAACTATTATTTTTTGCTTAATCACTTCAAAGGAGTCTGGAGTGACTTTGTGCTGTTTGGCTGAAAATAAGTTGGTGCTCTTTTTCTACCTGCACACAACAAGCTGTGTTGTAGCAGAAGCAAAACCAATATCCCAGAAATGCAAATTGAAGTACTGCAATACAGTAAAAATATTGTTGAAAAAGCACTAAAAACCTTTTCTATTACTGTTTTCTCTTCCAAAATCATTATTCAGTAGAACTTGCAGAAAATATTTCACTGAGCTATGGTGTCCTGGTTTGAGCCAGGATGAAGCCAATTTTTCTTTTTACTGATTTTTTTTTTCCTTCAGTAAGCTCTCTTGTAACTAGCAACAGTGTGTTCTGCTAGGCTGATAAGACAGTGGAATGTTTTTCTAACTACTGAGGCTTCAAGGCCGCACCTGCACTCTGCCGGCTCAGACACTACGGGGAGATCTGTGACCCCCCCGTAGGAGGCTGAGTTAGATGGACAGCAAAACTGGCCAAAGATATTCCATTCCATAGATCTACGTAAGCTCAGAGGAAGGTCAGAGATCACAGTTCCTCGGGACTCTTCCCAGTTCAGGGAAGTGCTGTGGGAGTTGCTGGGGTGGGGGGAGGCGAAAGGTTTTTGCCCATACCTGAATATATCTGTATATAATTGTATATATTTTCTTGTATTATTCATTAGTGTTTTAATTAAAGCTGTGTAGTTTAGTTTTCAATCCAGCCAAGTCTCTCTCTTTTTCTCTCTCTCCTTCCCTACCTGGGTTGGGGGGAGGGGGGATAGAGAGCATTGGTGTCGGACCTAAGTCAAACTGTGACAATGTGTTAAGACATGTATGGCAGGCATTTCTTCATAGGTTTACTGTGCTGAGCTGTAATTTCTATTTCAGACATATATATGCACACAATTATTATTAAGAAACACTTTCTTAATAGAACTGTTAAGAAAATCTGTATGTGAAACAGATGGAGTATATAGTTAAGCAAAAACCTCTAAAGCACAGTTTTGCACTGAAAGCCAGATACATAAAAATGGCACCTTCCAAAGTATCCCTGAAAACTCTAACTTAGCACTATTATTATACTAACTCTGAAAAGTCA